CTGGCTTCCCTTAATCATCATGGACGTTTTAATCTTTTTAACTACGACATCAATACCAAATAATTTTTATTACATGGTGAACATTCTAAACTATTCTAACTCTTTTGTCAATCCGATTATGTATGTATTTAGAATTCCTGAGTTTCAGCAAGCGCTGCGTTCTTGCCGCACGAAGAGGAGACCAGCCATTAAGATTGCAAAATTCAAAGGAAGAAACCGAACGGCCGCACATAGAACGCCAGAGATAGAACTAAGAATATTACGAAACGACCCTAGTCACTTGCAAGTTGAGGTGGAACTTGAATAGATTTAGTTATAGTCAGCTGAGATAAGAGGACCTTCCGCGTTGTTACTTAGTAGTGACATTCATTGGAGGCAGGAGCCACAAATGTGGAGTATTGTAAGAAAATAGGATAAAATTCTTAGATTTTCAATTTTTTACTTCACAGAGCCTTGTTGTTCTATAGGGTTGCTTTTCGAAGCAGAAGCTCACACCAGTTAAGTCTGAATTTCATCCAGTGATAAAAATATACTGTTTTATTTATCCTATCCAAGCAAAATATCTTCTCTTTTTCCAAAAAAATAAACTCTTCATAAATATGATAATTCTAGCTCTTAAGTTATTGCTCAACTTCACACACCTATACTTTTAAGGTTTTCAGAAAATGTCGATGGCCATCTTACAGACCGCGCCCTCAAGAGTGTGAAATAAAAAATAAGATAAAATAAAGAGCGTACAGCTGTAACTGCCTCCAAACTAAAATTAAGTAAAGTTTAATCAAGTTGTTTTGCCATTTATTATCGCTCGTTTAGATCAAATGCAATTTAAAATATGTATGAAGAACACCGAATGCACATGACACCTGCAGGTAACTCAGCCCGTGGACAAGACCCTTTAATTTTGACATCAAAAATTATCACGAAATAAATTTTTCCTCTGAACTTAAGGTTGAATCAAACTTGATGTTCGTAATATAAAAAAGAGCCCTTCGTGAAAAGTAAAACCGCCATTTTGCTAAAGCGGGTTACCATTTTAATAAATAAATTCATTCAAGCACACAGATGTATCCGGTTATCTCGACGGGAAAGAGAACTCTAATAAAACGTCCAGTAATCGTAACTTTAGTTCATATTTAAAACCAAAATCTAATTATTAATTTCATATTTCCAGACGCAGAGGCACTCGAGATCTCTCTTTCCCTCGGCCAAAATGTGAATAGAAGAAATGGTTTATATCAATTTCTTTCTAGTAAAAATAACTAAAAATAGCACATTGCATCGAATTACACATGTGTGATGCACATTTTCTCTCAAAGGATAAATACGCTTTTTTTTCATATAACATTAAGGAATATTTTTTATTCTCGCCTAGAAAAGGTAACGGTTGTACGGGTTAGGTAATTTGTAGACTGATGACTAAGGAGGGGTCTCAAGGAAACTGAAACGAACCTTACGAGAGTGTTAAAGTGTGTGACTCCGATCGTGTTAACAAAAAATAAATGTGCAGGTACTGCTCGTAATTTGATGCAAAGACATGACACTAAAACGACGCTGAATTCATGAGGTATTCAATTAAAATGTGCTGTCGACGACGGAAAAGAGATCACGAAATTATCACGACCACCATAGATGAAAAAAAGATTCTCCAAAAATTGACCGATTGAGGAAAAAACCCATGAGCGTTCCTCTGTGTGGAGATAAGTTACTGCTATACCGTGTTGCGAGCTGCTTTCATCTATTGCTTTAAGAATATTTATCATCCTCGAAAAAAAACAAGGAAAATCGAGAAAGGGAAAAAAACATCAAATACGCAAAGGGAAGAAAACCCATTACATCATTGACATACGGCAGTCCTCTAGACAACGAGCTGTCTCTCCTTTTCGTTTCAGTCTGTCACGCGAGTCCAAAAAATGGCAAAAAAAAAGGTCCCCATAAAAAAAAATTATAATAATAATAACAGTAATAATATCAAATAATACTAATTAAGAAACAAAAACGCGTGTCGCAGACTTTCAGAGTTAGTAATTCTTTCGACAACTATGGAATAGAAAATCAAAGGGCTCTTAGAGCTAGCTCATTCATGTTATGGCTTAAGTTTGTATTGATTTCTTGGACTTGTTGAATATAGGTACAGTTGAATTCGGTTTATGTGAACTTTCAAGACTTATGGAATAAATTTTTCTTTTATTCTTGGGCAGTTGTGTGATAAGAAAACTTGTGCATTCGTTGTGATATGAATTGGAAAAAAAGGTTGTGTGGGCTGCAGGTGGGATGGGAAGAAATCATTAGGCAGACAGTGTCCTTTTTTGTTGGTGCGTGCGTGTGTTTGTGGGGCGGAGGGTGGGCTGGGTGAGCAAAATCAGGCATCAAATGTTGCTCTACAAACAAAATATTAGTAACCCTCATCTTTCACGATCATTTGCATTATTTAATGAAGATTAATCATCTCTCATTGAGAAATGATGACGCCCCAGTCGGCTTCTAAAAGAAATTTTCATACAGGTTATACAGGCAAGAAATTTGCTTATAAAGGCTACCACTCAGTAATAAAAAAAAATAATTGAACACCTGTTACGTTTTTTTAATAAATGGACATTTAATTTATTGTGACACGAAGGGTTCTACGTGGCACAGTATTTGTTCAAACTCATTGCCTACTCCAACTACGTTTACACCTTCAAAAAAATTATTATGATATTTAAATAAATTTCGGTTAAGATCCCTCCAATTAAATTGACCTTTGCATTAAAACACCATGTCACAAGCCTGTCTCTTCGCGGGAGAAACCTCACTAGGGAATCTCAACTGATCAAGAAGTAATGTGGGTGTACGTCCTCATATATTCCGCAAACAAATAACGAATATCACCCGGGAAATATTTAGTAAAGTAGTGCATTTACAGCAAGCGCGTGAGAGCTGTGATACTTTCCGAAAATCAAATACGTAAGGGAGAAGAGTATTAAAGGCAGATAAAAATTTGAATGAGACTGCAGTCAATACAAGAGCATGCCTTTACGCTTCAAGAAATAACTGACCGGAAGAGTCAGCGGATCAGTAATGTAAACGAACTTTACTTAAGATAATAATTCATTAGTATTTCTCTCTCTCTCTTTGCTATGGCTCTTTTAAATTCAACGGTGTAGAATGAATTTCTAAGGCAAAAATTAAAACTAGAGCAGTGCATCGAGTATCATGAGTCAAGCGCAAATTACCCTGAAAGTGTTATTACACTGTTTATTTATCAATTTAACGAAGATTATATCTAATTGAGAGATAATAACACCCGAGTGGCCTTACGAAGAAATTTTGAGCCAAGTAAATTTCCAGACGCTTAGACGCCAAAGCTCTCTTTTTTTCCCCTCTTTGAGCTAAATTCATCACAGTGGGATGAATGTTTAATGCAAATTTGAAAATAGATCAACGCACTGAGTAGAGAGTTAAAGCAAAATTCGTTCATCACCGTAATGAAAATTATCTCTCATTGAGAAATGATAACGATACATGTCTCTTCGCTCCGAAAAAGATTATTTTTAAGATTCAAGTAAAGGAAAACTTACGGTTTTTCTTCAACGGATCAGTTACCGGATCAGTTAATGTAAATGCAATTAACTGTAGATAATAATTTGGATCATTTCTCTCTCTTTGCTAAAACTCATTTAAATTGAACGGTGTAGGAGACTGTTTGATGCAAAATTAAAAATTGAAGAGTGTATTATGTATCATGCGTCTGGGGCAAATTATCCGGAAAGCGTTCTTTATACTCTTTGTTCATTGAAATATGATCACGTCCAAGTCTGTTTGTTAATAAATTTTGAACCAAGAAAGAAATTTGTTAAAAACTTATGAAGCGAGAAAACTTTGTATGCAAGTTTGAAAACAAGTTTTCTTATCACACAACTGCTCAAAAATTAAAGAAAAAATTTATTCCATAAGTCTTGAAAGTTCACATAAACCGAATTCAACTGTACCTATATTCAACAAGTCTAAGAAATCAATACAAACTTAAGCCATAAAATGAATGAGCAGGCTACAAGAGCCCTTTTATTTTCTATTCCATCGTTGTCGAAAGAATTACGAACTTTGAAAGTCCGCAACACGCGTTTTTGTTTCTTAATTATTATTATTATTTTTTCTTTCATTTTTTTGGACTCGCGTGACAGACTGAACCGAAAAGGAGAGACAGCTCGTAGTCTAGAGGACTGCCGTATGTCAATGATTTGATGGGTTTTCTTCCCTTTGCGTATCTGATGTTTTTTCCCCTTCTCGATTTTTCTTGTTCTTTTTCGAGGATGATAGATAACAATGACGTCATGGTAACCTGCTTTATCAAAATGGCGGTTTTATTTTTCACGAAGGGCTTTTCCTATTTTGCGAGCATCAAACCTGATTCAACCTTAGGTTCAGAGAAAAAAATTATTTCGTGGTATTTTTTTATGTCAAAATTAAAGTGTCTTGTCCACGGACTGAGTTACCGTGCAGGTGTTTTGTGCATTCGGTGTTCTTCAAATATGTTTAAATTCATACTTTATCTAAATACGCGATCCTTATCCTTGTAATAAATGGCAAATAACATGATTAAACTTTGCTTCATTTTACTTTTTGCACGCTCTTTAGTCTATCTTATTTTTATTTCACAATCTTGAGGGCGCAGTCGGTAAGATGGTCGTCTGACAACCTTAAAAGTATAGGTGTGTTAATTTGGGCGATAACTTAAGAGCTAGAACTATCATATTTATGAAGAGTCTATATTTTTCATAACATCACAGGATATTTTGCTCAGATAGGATAAATAAAACAGTATATTTTCATTATTGGATGAAATTCAGACTTAACTGGTGTGAACTTTTACTGCAAAAATCAACCCTATACAACAACAAGGCTCTGTGAAGCAAAAAGTTGAAAATCTAAGAACGTTATCCAATACTCCATATTTATGGCTCCTTCCTCCTATGGATGTCACTACTCAGTAACGACGCGGACGATCTTCTTATCTCAGCTGACTACAACTTAGTTTCCATAAATTCTCGTTCAACATCAACTTGCAGGCGAGTGGGATCGTTTTGTAATATTCTTGGTTCTATCTCTAGCGTTCTAAGTGCAGCCGTTCGGTTTCCTCCTTTGAATTTTACCATCTTAATGACTGGTGTCCTCGTCGTGCAACACAAACGTAGCGCTTGCTGAAACTCAGGAATTCTGAATACATATACAATCGGATTGACAAAAGAGTTAGAATAATTTAGAATGTTCACCATGAAATAAAACTTCAATGGTATTGATGTCTTAGTTATGAAGATTAATATGTTCAAGATGATTAAGGGAAGCCAACATAATAAAGCCAGTATGGACACCAGAAGGAGGGTCTTTGTTAAGCGTCTGTTTCTTGAAGCTCCATTTCGATGCTGCGAGTCAATACTCCGGTGTTTAAAGTTTCTCCAGATGGCGATGTTACAGACACATATGATTACTGTTAGACCCAACAGAACTAGGACAGAGACATACAATGCAGATCTAAGTGAAGTAAACACCGATAGCAAATATAATATTGTAGACAACAAGGCAGCGAATGTCCAAAGTATGAAAATGGCGATGCGGTATGTTTTGGTGGACAGTAATCGGTGTTTAAACGGACAATATACGGCGTACAATCTCTCACAAGATATAAAGGCTGCAGATAGATATGAGCCGAACATAAAAATGGCATCGATGCATCTGAAGACCATAAGATAAAAGCCGTATTTTACTGTCCAAAGCTGATAGGCATCCCCAGCGAGGTAAATGTAAAAGGGTACGGAAAAGGTTCCCAACAACAAATCAGCAAACGCCATGTTTATAACTAGGAATAAACTTTTCCTACGAAGTGGTTTGGTAACCGTAAAGAGAACCAGAGTGAGCAAGTTTCCTGCAATGATTAGGACCAAAGATAAAATGAAAGTGCTGCATAGTGCGATCCCTTCTGCCTTGGAAGGAAAACTTCTTGTGAATGCAGACGCATTCTCCATAGTTTTGTTCACTGCCGACGACTCAATCATTATAAACTTATGACTAAATGAATTACGGTAAACAGTCTTTTTCCGGGAAAAAAGGGTTTTTTCAAAGGAGAGGAACTCAACTTTTTACAACAACATCAAGCAACAACGGCTGACAAGTTATTTGTATTTCGTGGTAGTTATATTCAAGAAGTCACGTGATCCAGGAAGACGAGACATTTCAGGTTCAACTTATTCTGTCAATAAAAGTGGAATTTCCGGCGTTTGAGTGCATACGAATTAGCCGGAAATGTAATACTTCTTTAGCACGGGAACAGTGGGGACTGGGGCAGTTGAAGTGCAGCATGGGTAGAATGGAGTGCTATAAAGGGGATGTTTATCGCGTGGGAAAGCATTATAAGCCCGACACCGTGTCGGCCTCGTCTTGCTCACTTTATTTTTTAGTACATATTTGATTTACTAGTGACAGTTCGAGTTTCGCAGGAGTTTCTTAGGTTGTTTGGGTTTCCTAAAACTATTTGGAGCTTTCCGTGCTTTCTTGGAATACATGTTTAGTAAATAAGGGCAAAGACCTTCCAGCCGTGTAGTCTTCGTAGGATGGGCTTTTCAGAGCATGAGCCACGGGTCCTACTCAGATCTCCTGCCGAGTTTTTTCCCTATTCGGGTTTTTTCCGGCAGGTTTTTTCTAGCCTCATTCTGTGTAAACTGTCGTTCAGCTCTGTTCTAGTTTTTCCACCACCGCATGTTTGAATGTAATAGAGGTTGTTGTATAACGTATTGTTATATGTGCGGTGCTCGGCCGATACAGCCATAATAAACCTAATGGTTTTTCTAATTCATGTTGTACTGCGTAGTGGAGCCGAAATTGGCTGTTTATCGAAAAACGTAACAGCTGTTCATGCATTTTTCTGTTTAAGCGGTTAGAACTGCACAGTTTTACGCTTGTTAAGGTTTTGACAAATTTCTTGTGTGGCTCAAAATCTCCACACTTGCAGACTAGGAAGTTATCCTTTCTCGATGAGAGATGATAATTTTTTTGAGCAACATACTGTCAAAGAACCTACCTCTGAAACACTACTCCGCTCAACCAAACAGTTCGTCCAGCCACATGTGTCTAGAGCTAAATACCCTGAAGTGTTATCACACCTTTCGTCTATCACTTAATGAAGATTATCTCTAAAATAATAAAATAAAGAGCGAACAGCTGTAACTGCCTCCGAACTAAAATCAAGTAAAGTTTAACCATGTTATTTTGCCATTAATTATCGCTCGTTTAGATCAAATACAATTTAAAATATATACGAAGAACACTAAATGCACATGACACCTGCACGGTAACTTAGCCCGTGGACAAGACACTTTGATTTTTACATAAAAAATTATCACGAAATAAATTTTTATCTGAACTTAAGGTGGAATCAGGCTTGATGCTCGTGATATATGAAAAAAAGCCCTTCGTGAAAAGTAAACCGCCATTTTGCCAAAGCGGGTTTTATCCGCACATGCGAAGAGATAAGTGGAACGTTCACCGCGCTTGGTAAAGATATTATGTTTTCGAAACAGAAATTCAGGTATTTCATCTATATCTATACAATAAAACTTTGTACAAGAGAGTGATGAAAACAGCTGAGTTCTTTCCGACAGTTTCCAATGAGACATAGGTTTGAAAATGAAGTACCTCCACGTCTCGAATGATCTCAGTTTCACGGGCATCATAGTTAAAACTAGTGGAGTGGAAATTGTTGATAAGCAATCGAATTATTTTCATGTGTGGAGACTAGGAAATAAAATGTCTCTTATTTATATAAATAAATTCATTCAAGCACACAGATGTATCCGGTTACCTCGACAGGAAAGAGAACTGTAATAAAACGTCCAGTGATCGTCGATTGTCTCCCTCGCAACTTTAGTTCGTTTATAAAACCCACAACCTAATTGCTAATTTCCTATTTCCAGACCCTGAAGCGGTCGAGATCTCTGTCTCCCTCGGCTAAAATGTGTCTAAATACATTTTTGAGAGATCAACCAACAAAAAGAAGAAATTGTTTATATATATAATTTTATTTTCAGTAAAAAAAAAACCAAACATGGCACAATGCATCGAATTACACATGTGCACGTGTGAAGCACTCTTCTCTGAAAGGATAAATACATTTTTTTCATAAAAAAATAAGGAATATTTTCTCTTCTTGTCGAGAAATGGGGATGGTTTTGCGGGATAGGTAATTTGGAGACTGATGACTAAGAATGAGTCTTAAGGAAAATCGAACCTGACGAGAGTGTTAAAGTGTGTGACTCCGAGTGTATTAACAAAAAACACATGAAGAGCTGTTCGTAATTTGATGAAAAGACATCACGCGAAAAGACGCTGAATTCATGAGGTATTCAATTAAAATGTGCTGTCGATGACGGAAAAGAGATCACGAAATTATCACGACCACAAAAGATGGAAAAAAAATTATCTTAAACTTCATCGATTGAGGAAAAAACCCGTGACCGACCCTCTGCGAGAAGAAGTTACTGCTATTCCGTGTCACGAGCTGCTTTCCTCTATTTCTTTAAGAACCTCTATCATCCTCGAAAGAGAACAAGGAGTATCCATAAAGGGAAAAAACATCAGATACTCAAACGGAAGAACACCCATCAAATCTTTGTCTTACAGCAGTCCTCTAGACTACGAGCTGTCTCTCCTTTTCGGTTCAGCCTGTCGCGCGAGCCCAAAAATGTGAAAGAAAAGGTCCGCATAAATAAATAATAATAATAATAATAATAAATAATTAAGAAACAAACACTAGAAAAGTAAACAAATAAAGTTTCACCGGCGGAAGTCTAAAAATTGAAAATTGAAAATTGCAGTCAATTTTCAAGTTTTGTTTTTCGGCCAAAACACTCGAAATCGTTGACAGAACTACCCAAGAGGGAGGGGGAGGGTCCTTTCGCACGGTAATTTTTGCCTCCAACGCCCTCTCCCCATGGCCAGGTCCGTTTTCTTGCTTAAGGGGTTTGGGAAGGAAGTGAGAGTTTAACTGTCTTTTAACTGACTTTTCAGACGCCATACTGTAAAACATGGTTGGAATGAAGGTGAGGGAGAGGGAGGGGGTAAGTTTCTAATACCACCACCCCCACACGATTCATCTCTAGAGTTGGTGATCACGCTTGAACAAAACATGTTGACCTAAATAAAGATTCTGATGCTGTTACAACGCTTTCAGTGTTTAATCCTTTCAGTACTGTTAATAAATCATGTTGAGTGTTGAAGACATGTGCTAACTGCTCATTTCTTAATGACAGCCGGGAAAAAATGAGCTTTGACAAAAGCCTAAGTATTCACGCTAAAAGCTGAAAAATTATTTTGAACCCTGAAAGGTGCTCCTATAGTCGGCTATACAAACAAGGAAATGAAAGTAGAAAAATGAAGAAAATAGCGAACAACAAGCACTTAAGTCTAATTAACTTATACGTACCCGAGCAACGATGTCCCGCGTGCACTCCTCAAACTCATCATTTGACAGACAGTTGTGTAAATTTATCCCACTCTCAAAACAAAACCTCCTAACTGACCTCGAACTAAAGCCTTTCTTGTCGGGAAATCTTTCTTTTAGCAATAAGCTCACCTCGGAGAGTGTTTTTCTTTGAGTTATTATAAGATCCTTTATGTACTCAGCACTGAAGTCGTTAATGTTTGGAAAAGTGCTGCGCGGTAAATATGAATTTCCCGCTTCCTCCTTTCCAGAGAAGTGTAGCGTGGGAGGGGAGGGAGGGGGACAGGAGCAAAAAAAATTCGCATGGAGGAAAGGGGATCTGGGGAGAGGGCGCTAGGGGCAAAAAATTACCGTGCAAATGGACCCCTCCCCCTCCCTATTCCGATTTGGCACTTTCGTGTTTTTTTCATAAAAAATAACGAAAATCAAAAATTGACATCAATTTTCAATTTTTGATTTTTAACGAAAATTGAATGGACGAATCACACACGGACCCATCACACCAACTAACTCGCGCACTCAGTGAGAAGACTAAATGAAGGCTTGAAATTATATTAAGAACGATTGTGATCAAGAAACGGCAAGGGATATTCCACATTAGTGCAAATAATCGTGAAAGATGATCGCGGAAAAGCGATTGCGTGACGCTCGGTAAGTTGTAAGATGACATGTTGTCACGTTCAGACGGAAAAACAGTATAAATTCTCAGTCTGCATTTTGTACCTGGTCTGCATTTTGTACCCGGTCTGCAGTCTGCATTTTGTACTGACCGGATTGATATTGCTGTTTTTGTTCAAGCAAGCCTCAAGTCCGGACCGAAATATTGAAGCTCGAAAAAAAATTTTAGTGATACTATCTTGGCCGCTATGATTGATGTGTGAACTGTATATTGAAGAGCTCCCGAGGAAAAGCACAATTATATAGCAATGATTACTTTATATCAACTGAAGACGAACGCAAACGTGCAACTTACCCATATTGCTGCCTCCGATGCTCTTCGGCGTTGTCACAGCATGTGTTGAAATGAACCCACTACGGGTCCCCCAGGTGTGAACATTTCGGCCTCTCGATTCAAATTGCATTTTAAGAAGTTCGTGGTTATTATTTTTTATTAAACCATACAAACATTTTACTTCTTTCCACTTGAGTTTCTGAGCTTCATCGAAATTAATTTTGACTTTCACTAAGTGGGGAGGGGTAGCATGCGAGACTAATGCCTTCACGGTTCACAATGCAACTTCCGTCTACGGAATACAACTTCCGTCCACGGTCGACAACTTCCGTCAACATCTGCTCCACCATATACCTCATTCATTGCTCTCAGTATGAATGAACTAAAAAAGGCCCGGAGTAGCATATCCTTAGAGTGTTACTACACATTTCTTTCAAGATTTTAATTGAGACTCGTTCTCATTGAAAAATGATAGCGATACCTCTTTGTTCCAAAAACTAATTTTGAAGATCCAAGTAAAGGGAAACACACAATTTTCTTGACTGGCTTAGTTAATGATCAGCTAATGCAAATGTACTTAGCTTTAGATAATAAATTTATATCAATTT